ATGTGATAGGCACTGCCTAATTAACCAAATGTTAATTCCCTTTTTCATCTAATCATCCCAGAAAATAGTAGTGAGGTATTGAACCAAAAAGCCTTACTGAGAGTCAAGATCTTCCATCTTCATGGGCTGTTTCTAACACTTGCAGTCTTCTTGCAAAAGAAAAACTCGTGCATTGACACAATATTTTAGCTAATGGACAGACACTTTGTGGTACAGTACTTTGAACCTAGGAAAAGGAAACAGACTCCCAACACAGGAAGTCTTCCGAGGTGCTCTAGTATCATCCAGGCTAGGAGGAGGCAGGGTATGGGAGTTGGGTAGGAGGGTTGCAGAGAAGAGGAAGCCTTAAAGGGGAAATAGTAGATTCATTCACGTTTACCTTCAGGACAGATGAAAGTTTCAGGGGAATCTGGAGGCAGGGTTCCAGCCCTCCTCTAGTTTGCTGTGTGATCTTCAGTGGAAGTCATTTCCCTTTTGTGGGTAGGACCCTTCCAACTGAGACACTCAAGGACACTCTGTATTCTTCAGAGTCACTAGGAAACCAATTAACTCTCCAATCACATAATCTTAATTTGCATTTTTATAACCTAGGCTGCTGTCCAACTCTCTCATACATACTGGGGAATCATGTCATTTCCTTTATTGAGTCAAGCACACTAAGGGTGTTGTAGAATCACTTTTCTCAGTAGTTCTGGGCAGGAGAATAGACTTGCACTCTAGATCTTAGAACACTGGGGCATTCTTGGGAAGATTCCAGAAGGCATTGTTAACCCAACGAATAAAACAGTAAGTACCATTCTGACCCTCTGAGCTGTAATAATGCAATTTCTATTGCTTTTCTCTCTTTTAAGAAAAGACGTACAACAAGGGTCCCATTCACATTTTTAACCACAATATAAACAGAGTTCTCATGCAGAAGCAATTATAAATACTGCACATGTGAAAAGGAAACTGCCTACTGGTATTCAAAGAAATACAGATGAAAGCAAATCTAGGACCCCATTTAAAATATTAATTCTCAAAAATGTTTTACAGCAACAATATTCAAGACACCCAGGGCTGCAACCAAACTAACTGACATAATTTTGGTGGCATTGTAAATTCATAATAGTTCTTTTGGGAAACAATATAGCAACACATAGGAAGAACCATATTTATGATTATTGAGAAGTAGTGCAATAAAGATGTGCATAAAGAAGTTAATATAAGCAGTGTCTATTATAGAAAAAAACTAAACTTAAGAGAATTGCTACAAAGATTTTGATTCAGTCATACATTTGCCTCATACATAGCTATAAGGATAATTATGAAGATTAAGTAGCAATATAGAGAGATGTTTATAACAAGTAAAATATAACGAACTTCAGGATAATATATGTATTATGGTTATAGCTCTGTAAAAATCTTCATACCAGTGTACAAGGGCTGGAATCTACTGAGAAAAAAATGGCTATTGTACTTGAGAGGCAACATATTGTGCTTTAAACTATTTTTTAATGTTCTGTTTAGATACAAATTTTGTCTTCAATTAAATAAATAAAAGAAACTATGTCAATTTTAAAATAATTAATCTCACCAGGTATGGTGGCACATGCCTGTAATCCCAGCAACTGGGGAGGCTGAGGCAGGAAGATTATGTGTTCAAGACCAGCCTGGACAACTTAGTAAGACTCTGTCTCAAAGATTTAAAAGTAGTGGGGGGTTCTGAGGGTGTGACTCAATGGCAGAGTGCCCCTGGGTTCAATCCCAGTATCACAAAAATAAGTAAGTAAGTAAATAAATAAATAGATAGATAATCTTATCAACAAACATCCCCTCTAGACAATGAGAAAGAGGCAGGAACCCTCCATAATTCAATGATGTGTATCAAAGCATGTATCTGGCACATGCTAGGTGCTGTAAAGATCTATGGACTAACTTACCACTACAGTCAACCTCTCTGAAGGGTTTAATAAACACTGATAAAGACACCTCATTTTGCAAAGACATCCTTTACCAACACCTCCACAGTCTTCAGAGCCAAAAATACACCATCATTTACAAGTAGGCTTTGGAAACTCAGTATCTTCCTGTCTCCAGAATTTCATCAGCAGAAGGAGGACATCATCTAGATAGAAGCTGTCAGGCTGGGTGGAGAGAACCTCCCCCTCTTTCTCCTACAGCATCACCCTGGGGCAGATCCTCACAGGGACACAATGAGAAGTAGCTTGATCCCTGGATCATCTCTACACTAACTCTTCACACCAGAAGGTGGCAGTATGCACACCTCCTAAGATGTAGAACACTTTTGGGGGAGTGGCAAAGGGTACTGAGGATTTGAACGCCGGGGTACTTTACCACTGAGCCACATTCCCAGCCATTTTATTTTTTATTTTGAGACTGGGCCTTGCTAAATTGCTAAGTTATGCTGGGCCTTGCTAAATTGCTAAGGCTGGCCTTGAACTTATGATCCTCCTGTCTCAGCCTCCCAAATCACTGGGATTACAGGCATATGCCACTGTGCACAGCCCAGAACACAATTTAATAGTTCATTGTTCAACTCCTGTTACCCAGTCCACCTTCTGCAAAAATGGGCCAGCTGAGAGTGTAACAAAGATGACCAAGGCTTCAGGCCAAAGTCAGGAACAGATGTATGTAACTGATGCCTGCTTTGCCTGGTGTTATGAGCAATGGCCTCTCTCCCATTTTATAGCTAGAAACTTCACAGAGGCTGGGTGACTGCCAAGCCCCTACTTCTTGCCCAGGTAATACTGCTCAGACCTGAACACAGCTCTCCCTGCTCAAAGCCTAAATGCCCACCCTCTCTCCACTAGACCATGCTGCCTCCTAGCTCTCCAGCATCAGTAGTCTATGAAAATGTGGACAAGAGTGTTTCTGAACCTATGATTACATGCTTTTTACATCACCTTGTTAAATGGTAAAATTGACAATAACCTTTGACCTTAGAAAATACTTTAGAGATATGTTCCAAGGAAACACATAAAAACAGGAAATATAAGTTTATGAAATATAAAAATGAAGCCAGGTAAGGTGGCACATGCCTGTAATCCTAGTGGCTTGGGAGGCTGAGGCAGGAGGATCATGAGTTCAGTGAGGCCCTGTCTCTAAATAAAATACAAAATAGGGCTGGGGATGTGGCTCAGTGGTCAAGTGCCCCTTGAGTTCACTCCCCAGTACCCCCCCCCCCAAAAAAAAGAAACAAAGGTGCACACAAAAATGCTTAGAACTGAACTTAATATTGCAGTTAAAACTAGAGGCAGCCCACTTACCCAACAGAACAGAAGCTAGAGAGATGGTTCTGTGGTCATTATACCTACACTAGGAATGGTCAGCCTGAAGATACAGCCAATGACCAACTATCCAACTATCATATGGGTGCTGTTACACTAGTTGTTAAGATGAATACTTTCAATCTTTTGGGTGAGCCTGTCCAGGAAGACAGCAGCAGCCCAGGACCGAAGTGAAAGCAGATGTCTGCAAAATGAAACTGAGCAAGAATAAACAAAAGAGACACCTGAGAGCTGAGAGGAAAGTGGCTGAGAAGGGGCCAATCAGAAAAATCTCACTGAGAAATAGCTAAGCCGGGATGGCTGCAATCCTGGCGAGGCTGCTGCCACAAGCCCCACCACCGAGAGTGGTGTGGGTGTGAATCAATGCTACAAGATCTGCAGTCAAGCTGTCCACCAGCTGAATAGGGAAGACTGAGACCCACGCAGTTCCATGTAGACATCTTGCTCACTCACTTCATCCAAGGGTACAGTTACCTGCAGCCTGGGAGCTACCTGGCTGACATTGCCTTAAAGGTGGCAGGGAGGACACAGGCCAAAAGAGCTTGTGGGGGAAAGCTCATCTTCTATGACCTGCAGAGGAGACAGGTCAAGTTGCAAGTCATGGTGAATTCCAGGAATTATTGATCAGAAGAAGAATTTATTCATAACAATATTACATCAGGAGACATGATTAAAATTCAGAGGAATCCTGAGAAAATCAAAAATGGTGAGCTGAGTGTCATTCCCTATGAGATCATACTGCTCTTTCCATGGTTACATATGTTACCTCCGCCTGGACTTGATCCTGATTGATTTTATAAGGCAGAAGTATATCATCAATGGTAAGGTCATCGCAGATGTAAGAAGCTTCTTGGGTGATCTGGGATTCCTAGAGATTAGAATTTATAAAATGAACATCATCCTAGGGTAGGGGGGAGCTGTGACCAAGCTTTTCCTCTCTTATCACAAAAAAATAAGACATGAACTTATGTAAGATAATTGCCCCCAGAACTTTACCATAATGTGCTTTTGGCATTGACCAGGTTTATGACATTGGACACCACTTCCAGAATGAAGGAATTGTTTTGACCCACGATCCTGAGTTTACCATCTGTGAGTTCTACACAGACTATGACAGTCTCCTGGAAACCACAGAGAAGACAGTTTCAGTGGAATAATGAGTCACATTACCAGTGGTTAAAGGTTGCCTCCCACCTACATGGCCCAGAGGGTCAGTTCTACAACACTGACTTCACTCTACCCTTCCAGAGATTCAGCGTGGTAAAAGACTTAAATTAAGCCCTGGAATGAAGCTGCCATAAATTAACCTCTTGGAAACTGAAGAAACTTACAGAATTCTTGATGTTATCTATATGGCAAAAGGTCTTGAATGTCCTCCACCTCAGACAATAGTTAGTGTCATTGATGGGCTTGTCAGGAGTTCCTGGAAGTGACTTGCATCAATCATACATTTATCTGTGATCACCAAAGAGCATGAGCCCTTTGGTTAAAGAGGATCTGACTCAGCATGTTGAATGATTTGTTATGAAAGAAGTATGCAGTCCTACGTGAGCTGAACGAGTCCATGCAGCAGCAACAACTTTTAGAAAACAGACCAACGCTAGGGACACCAGCGATGAAGCCATGCACGTACTTGAAGATTTCTGCACCACCCTGGAACACTGCCGCCGCACACCCCACCCCCACCCCGGCCCCACCGCATGCAACTGACTGGAGTCTGGATCACAGGCTGGAATCATAGCATCCAGAAAGTATTTCTGCGTCCTTCCATGAAACCTGAAGACAAGAAGAGGAGGAGAATGAAGCAACCATTGATATAGGGGAAAGCACAACAGTTGGCACATCCATTTAAAAAATTACTGCAAGTTGTACAGATATCTTTGCAATTCTGCAAAAATCAAGATCTGCAAGGGAGTTGTTGTGTGTTGCTCTTCTTTGACTATTAAGACTTCAGGTTAGCACCAGAAAGGAGAAGTAGAGTTAAGAATTCATTTATACTTCTTGTTACCAAATAAAACATATGTCTTTTCTCTTAAAAAATAAGTAAAATAAGTATTTCTATACTTGTTGGTACACAGGAAGGCCTGGGCTTCCCCTACTTTCCTTGCCCTTCTACTAATGGGCTGCTCCAGGACATTCCCAGATCTAGCAAGTGAATGGTAAATACCTGGCCCAGCAGCCTCTAGAACCCTCTCTGGGACACTGGTGAGTTTACATCTTAGTACCAGTTATTAAGTACTTTTAAAGCCTTACTTGGCTACCATATTTTATGGAAAGAAGACCATATTTTAGAATGAGACAAAAGATAAAATGATAGAGCAACATTAAATGACTTAACAGTAAATAAAATAAGCAGAACTTAATGTAATGAATGTAAGGAATAGCAATGAGGAAAACTTATATTTGTCTAAACAAGAGTTTCTAAGAAGCCACAGAATCTCAGTATTTGGTAAATTAGTAGATAGGAAATTTAACCAATATTGTCAGTTACCTACTCAGCAGCCGACTCTTTTCTTCTTAAAAGAAGAAGTTGCAGTTTTGTCCATTGTCCTGCTCTTCTAATGACCAAATGTTTTGGGGAAGCTTGAGCCTAGAGGTGGTCTGAGTGGGTGGTGGGGGTGCAAATTCAGATTTTCTATGCCAGGCAGGACAGTCCCTTCCTCTTGCCAAGTGGGGATGTAGTTCTGTGAGGTAGAAAGGAAGTCAACTAGAAGGGTTTTCTTTGCTCATATAAAGGGACAATGATGGGAATGTTCCCTTTGTTTCCTTTGACATTGTCTTGCTTAAAACTTACAAACATCTCGCAGCCCCTAAAGGAAAGCTGAGAGAATCTCAGTGAATCCAACCTTAGCCACGATTTCTGTGGGCTGCTAAGTTAACCAACCATTTTAGTTGCATTCCCACTAGCTTTCTTATCGTTTAACCCACTCTAGTTGGATTTTCTGGGACTTGCAGAGTCCTGCTAGCAAGTAAGCTGTTCACCATTATATCCATATTATATATAACACTATCTGATACATAGTACTAAATATTTATTGAAGGGATAAATGAATAAAAAGCAACTTCACTGATAGAGGAGGGTGTTAAATTTTTTGGTGATCTTGGTATTAACTTTTTCTCTGTGTGTTTTATTTTTTAAACAGTCAAATGTTGTTGACTAGATCTATTGGCTCCAGGGTATTGTTGTTATGAGAAGTAGCAGTCAGATCTGGATTTGAATCCGGCTCTTCTACTTACCAGTTAAGTGCCTTTAGGCAAATTGCTCATCTTAACTGAACACACCTGTAAAATGAGCATAGCAACCTCTAAATTATAGGGTTGCTATGAGTCTCAAATGAGAAGCAACCACAAAACCAGATACATGGCAGGGGTTCAGGTGTTTGTCCTTTACCTACTTGTGTCCCTAAATACTCAGGTACCAAGATTTCAGTATGTCCTTGTTGATGTTGAGAAGGGCATCTTGGGCCAGGGGAGGAGTCAGACATGTCAACAAACCCACCTAGTGACCAATGTTAACATCAAGAAAAGCAGAATAAATCAACATCTTATATCTCATACTATAACACACCAAGACAACTTGGGATACTCCTGCCAAATTATGAACTCATCGTAAGGAAACATCAAACACAAAATGAGGTGTTTCCTATAAAATATCAGCATAGATGTTTCAGAAATTTCAACTGTCAGGAAAACAAAAAGACTACAGAACTATTTTATATTGAAGGCTATGAAAGGCACATGATGACTTAATATGATGCATGCATGACCTAAGCCTTTCTTTCTCTATAAAGAATTTTTTTGGGACAGTTTGTGAAATTTGATAAGATATATAGATTAGATAATAGTTGGTATCAAAGTTAACTTCCTAATTTTGATACTTATCTGTAATTACATATGAAAATATCCTTGGTTTTAGAAAACAAACATACTGAAGGAGTAAAGGGAAATAATATCTGTACACAAGCCATTCAGAAAAAAATAAGATTATATCTCTAGATATATAGAAAAATAGAAGGTTAAGGCAAATGTGGCTAAAGAATTTCGAGAATCTGGGTAAAAACTATATTAGAATTTGTTGTACTATTTTGCAAGTACAAGTTTAAGTCTGAAATTATGTTAAAAATTATATTTTAGAAAGCTTAAAAGAGATAGTAGATCCAATTCTGGAAGGAGACTAGGAAGTTGTAGGTGGAGAAAAAGGAGAAAAGGGGAATTAATTTCAGGCTCCATGAAGACTTCAGGAAGCTACCAGGTGGTGGTGAGCCCACTGAATTTGGGCAGTTTCTAAAAAGAAGTGTCACAGTCTTCCAGGCAGTCAATAGAAGGAAAAGCCTTTTGGGCAGTGGCCAGGAAGAATGAAAAGAAGCCTACTAGCAGGCAAGGAGCAGCCTTGACTGCAACACTGGCTCTGAGCAATAAAGATGAACATATAAGCTGAGCCCAATAGCAAAGGACCTTGAATGCTCTGCCAAGGCAGTGGGACTTGATGTGATGAGATGTAGGCTGAAGATGAATGGAGAAAAGTCAGATAGGAGTCAGGGAGCCCACAGGGTGACTACTTTGGCAACTGGAGGGAGAAGCAGCAGCTAAAGGCTTGAATGAATTAATGCCCTTTGGCCAGAAAGATCTCTGCTGAATCTAAATTTCTGTGAGCCTTTGAAACGCATGCTCCCTTATTAATGCCCTTTGACTAGAAGAGCAATAGTTACAATTACACCTCCCAGAGGCAAAATGGCAGGCCAGTTTTGGTGTTCTGATTCCAGTTTGCTCTGTGTTGCAGAGGACATAGGACAACGGGCTGATTAGCAAGGACAAACCCCAGGCTGATCTAGAAAACAGGGCAGAAGGGAACACATGGAATGCCAGGGATGGAGGTACTACTAGCCACTACAATGTAAATTTGGAAAATCACCTTTATTTTACCTGTCCTAGTCAACTTGGTATCTTTCAGTCCCCACTGTGCCTGATTTCCCAAGATTTCCTGCCAGCCCTTGGGTGTGTGCTATGACCATGCTACTGTGATTTCACCACAAGAGGCTTAAGGCCTCTTTGGCTCTTTGTATTGCACAATAGTAGGGCATATTAAGGCAAATTGAGGTAATCCATTCATTTGACACTCAACAAATATTTACCCTGGGCTAATGTGTGCTTAAGAGACTTATGTGAAAGGAAAAGGGAAAGGGGGAAGAGAGGGAACACATGATGCTTATAATTATGATATCCAAAGTAGATGGGAATTGGTTTCTTATCAAATTTGGAAAGGGAATGTTATCCCCACATCATCCTAGCTTAATGAGGATGTAGCCATGGCACCAAATAGCATTCAGAGGCCTGATGATTTTCCATAAATGCACCTACAGTTCTCACTTGACTTCTTCATAATCATGGAGGTGATGAGGATGATAATGAGATGCGTACCTGTGGTGTGTTTGCCGCTCTGAAAAATGCTTCCTTTCCATTCTTTCCAAACCTAAACACAACCCCAAGAGGTAGATTTCTTGTGTTCAAGGAAATCAATTTTCTGAGAGATTGATGGGTTTATTCAAGGTGCCACTGCCACTTAGGAGCAGAAAAAACATTTGAATTCAAATCTTGTCTATAAAATTTGTGTCCATTCCAGTGTCATGCCACCTCCCACCATGTCATAATGGGGAGGACAATGTACAAAAGTATCCAACACCTCAGTGGATCTCAGTTTTTAGGATGCATCAAAACTCCCAGTAGACTTATTAAAATACAATTTGCTCAGCAATCCCAGAGTTTCTTATTCATAAAGTCTTATTAATTAAGGTGGTATCTACTAATCTGCATTTCTAACAACCCAGATTTTCTGTTGCTGCTGCTGCTGCTGCTGCTGCTGCTGCTGCTGGTCCTGAGACCTCACTTAGAACCACAGCTCTGTTAATAGCAAGGTGACACTACTGCTTCCCCTGCTCTTTGTACTCAGTTTGGCATCTCCAAAATCAATTCATTTCACCTCTCTGAAGAAGGCCAAGGCACATGCTGCCCTCCATGCCTCCCTTCTGTTCTTGAGGGAGTCTGCATCAGAGAGCCCAGGTAGAGCCTGGCTGAGCCATTTGCTCCCAGTTGTTTGCAGACTACTCTATTCTAAGGCCATTGTCCCTCGTAGCCCTAGGGTCATTTCCAGGCCTCCCTAGGTTTTCACTCACTCAGGACTTCCCTATAGATTGTTTTCATTTTGTCAAGTGTGATTTGTAAACTTTGATGGTCTTTGATGCCCTTTCCTTATCTGTTGGAATTTGAACTGGGAATGAGAAATCTTTTCCAGGGTAATGTGGGGCACAATGGTTGTCCCTGTCATCTGGGATCCTTATTCATCTTCAAAAGATAAACTTTCTTGCAGCGCAGTGACCTTCCTAAGTTATAATTTAATAAGGGAGCATGGGTTTCAAAGGCTGTTGGAAATTTAGATTCAGCAGAGATCTTTGCAGAAAAGAGGAAGGGAAAGAAAAACAATTTTCGAGAATGTGCCATGTGTCAGACACATGGTCATGAAGTTTAATATGGGTCATGTTATTGACTCTTCACGGTAACCCATGGTTGTTGTTTTAGTGATGAGAGAACTGAGTTTCAAAGGTCAGTAACTAGTCATGGTCATACAGCTAGTTAGTGGCTGAGCCAGGATTAGAAGCAGGTCTGCCTGTGTTCTTTCCCCTATCCCAGGCCCATCAGTTCACAGAGCTGATGTTCTCTGTAAATCTAATATCCATGCATCCATTTATTGAGTTTTGAGACAAACATTAGGCCCACAGCGTGGCTTAATAAGAAAACCCAAGGCAGTCATACAGTGGTCAGTGCTGGGGAAGCCATGAAAGGTCCAGCTGGAGAAGCTGGTGGCTGGTGGCAGGAGAAACTGAGGAAAGAGATCATGGTCAAGTGCTGGCTGAGAGTGGGAGGTTCCAGGGATCTGTAGAGTTGGTAGTAAGAGTTATTAGGAGTAGGCCAAGACAAGCAAGACCATAGGAATCTATAGCAGGGGCTTCAACTCAGGCAAAGCTGCTCTAAAGAGCCAGGTGTCACCTTCCCACTCAGGATTTGCCTGTGGAAAGGCAGCTCCCCTGTCTTCCATGTCTGTCAAGTGCCTACTTTGTGTCCAGCATTGTGTGATAGGTGTTGATACTTCTTTTTGTTTGTTTGTATGTTTAGTAAAGCATCATTGTCTTTGAAGAACTCATAGCTCAGGTACAGGTGAAAGCAACTAATGAAACACAGCCAGATAAGTGTTATTTTTAATGTTATTTTTTACTTTATAGCTTATTTACATGCAATACACGGTGACCCTCACAGGGACATTATTGCAGGACAGAGAGGAAGCACTCTGCCCTTCTGCATCAGACATCTCCTGGACCCTGGGCACAATATATAAGATCCATAGAGAGGTGGGAAAAGCTTCCTGGAGACACAGGTAGGATCCTGCTCTTCATGCAGAAAAGAGTCAGGGGAGGTCCCTGCAGGTAGAGAGGACATGACCATTTCCTGCAGTGTGATTTTGGTGCAGACACAGCTTTAGCTGGGAGGAGGCCAGGGGGCTTGAGACTCATCTCTCAGCCTTTTCCACTCCTTTATGCAGAGCACCAACTTTGTCACATCAGACTTCCCATGACAGCTCCCTCCAGAAGAGCCAGCATGTCTGAAGTGCTGGCAAGTAAGTGTCTCAGGGGCT